GAACACTAGCTCCTGCCTACAGAGCTCTCTTAAAGAGTCAATAAAATCACAGATGTCACAAGACCAACAGAATCTGCACAGAGAAAAGATCATCGAGTGGTGTTAAGAGCTCAGTCCTCCTTGTCAATTACCCACTAGTGGGTGTCCGCTCTGTAGGCCTGCTGTGATCCACTGGACCCTAGGTTCACCTCCTCCCAGGCATCGTCCTCACTCTTGACTCCACCACACACAACACCACACCACAGGGCAGCTCAGTGGGGACACACCAGACAAGCCATCACACTTGCCACCTTCTCCAAGAAAGGTCAGGGAACAAATGGTATGTGGTCCTCAGAGCTTGGTCCTGAGCACCTACTCTGCACCACAAGCAGGTCTGCATACCAACAGGGTCAACGTTTCAAGCTCTCCTGGAGCTTATGATTTAGGAAGAAAGTCAGACAAAAAAAAAAAAAAAAAAGAATTATAAACTCAGAGAAAGGAACACGTAAGTCAATCATTACAAGTGAACAGAGTACCAAAGAAACACTGAATAAGAATCTAATTTAGGGGCCTCCCGAATGGTCCCAGAAAAAAGGACATGTTAGCTGAGCATGGCAGGATGAGAAATGCCCCGGCCCCCCTCCCACTCAGCAGCTGCATGGTTCTTGGGAACCAGAGGGTCCCGGGGTGGAGGGGAGGGGTCCCTGAGAAGGGACCTCCAACTCCCTACTACTACTTCTTACTCCACTGTGGAAAGTCCTCCCTGAGCCCCCACCTCCTCTCTCCCTCCCTCAGCTAATAGCATGTCTCCTCTTTCAGAGCTGGCTCTGCTAGTGAGGCCCAGCCCTCAGAACAGCTGACCTGAGGAACCTGCCGGGCCAGAAACACACCTGGTCCTGCTTCTATGTGCTCTAAGCTTCTGGAAGGTGTGCACCTTCCCCAGAAACACCCCACCCTTGGCCTTCTGCCCCCAACCCACTCAGGGCCTCCAGCCGTCCCAGGGCAGGGGAGGACATGGCTGGGGCAGGCAGAGTGGATTGGGCCCCTGGGAGTCCATAGTGCTAACACCGTCCACTCCCAATGCTCTTCCATGCTGCTGTTTTTAGATGTTGGTGACAGCAAAAGAGAAAGGACAAAGACAGGATCAGACACCTAAGCAGACAGAAGGCCAGAGACAGAAATGAGATGTTCTGAAGAAGAGAGAGGAACGCAGCATGAGAGAAGGAACGAAAAAAGAGAAACAGGAAAAGAGGTGGGATGGAGGCAGAAAAGGGACCAAGATGCTGGACAAAGAGAGGCAAAGCATAGGAAGCAAAACCCTGGAAAGACAGAGGAAGAGCCAGGGCGCTCAGGGAAAGGGTGGGCAGGATCTTCGGAGAGAACCCTTTTCCTGAGTCAGCCAGCTAGGAGGAGTCACCGAGGGGTGGAGTGTGGGGGGCCAGCAGAGACCAGCGGACCACATTTCCTCGGCTGGGTCCCCACAGTGAGAAGGTTACAGAGGCCTCCAAGGATGGGAGGAAAGGGGACACTGGTGCTGGAGAGTGTCCTCCCCAAATCTACATGCATGGGACATCTGCCAGTGGGTGGGACCCATGGCTGGCCTGGAATCACAATGGAATTTGCCTATGAGGAATCTGACAATGGCCGGCAGGTTTCAGCAGCATGAAGACACTGGCATTTTCCACATCTGTGCCAGATGTCCCAAGACCAGGGATGGAAGAGCTCCCAGGCCAGCATGGCTGCCTCTGGGCACCTGCCATGGACTCTGTCCCACAGATAGACAGTGGCCCTTGGTGCTCCACAACCCATACTGGCCCTGGAGGCACAGAGACCACAGTCTGCCACCAGGGGAGTCCAGGTCCAGAAGGGGAAGGCAGGGGACAGGGATAAACCCAAAGGGGCCAGTGAAGTCCATGGGCAACTGCGGAGGGAGAGATCACTTCTGGTCTGGAGAACAGCTAGCCTTGAAAAGCATCCTAAAAACCCAGTGGAATAGGAGAGAAAAAGAATGAGGGGATGAAGGGGACCAAGACCCCAAAATGGGCAAGCCCAGAGGGTGAACCCGTGAAGTGCCCACTTGGGCTCGTGCTATGAGTGAGACTATGGAAAGTCCTAAATGCCAGGTTGGAAAGGAGGGGCCGTAGAATGACTTGGACAGGTGGATGTGGTGTGGAGGCCATGCTCAGAATGCAAGCGTGCCTTTCCTCAACTCCCTGGCTGAACGTGAAATGGGCATCTGCCCCTTCAGGTTCAGTTTTCTGCAAAATCAAGGGCTTTCACCAGATTAGTGTTCTGTTCTGGAACCAAAGGGAAATTCATTTGGAGTCTTGTTCTTCCAATTCACAATGTGGAAAACCTTTGCCAAAGAGCACTCTAGAGCCCCTTGCACCTGAGTGCAGGCAGCCTGAGGATGTGTGCCTCCTGCCAGGGGCTCCTGCCCACTCACACATGCTTGGTCATCACAAGGCTCTCACCAGCCTGCACCCAAACTCCCCGGGCAGGGGAGGCTGGTACCCATGATGTCATGTCCTTCCCGCCAACAGGAATAGGAGACAGCAGCAAAGATGACAGCAGCAAGGAGAGTAAGGACACCGCCACTAGTGCTAGGGGCGGTGAGTAATGCCAGAGCCTCAGACTCTTACCAGACCCTTACACATTTTAATTCACTTAATCCTCACAGGAGCCCTCTGAGAGGCTGTTAGTATGAACACCGTTTTGAATAATTAAGGGAGAATTTCTGGAGGGAATTTCTCAATACGAAAGACTCAGAGGCAACCTGCATGGAATTTCCCTTGAAAAAACATTTGCTAGTTGAGTGCTCTGATTTTACCTAGATAATATATTTAAGATCAATAAAAAGTAAACAATTCTGAGAAGGCAATAGTTCAGAGCACACAGCATGCACAGCATGTTCTGAGGGACCTTGATGAGTGCTGAAGGACATGGGGAGTCTGCAGCTCCCTCCAAAGCCCACCAGGGCCAGGGAAAGGCAGGTCCATGAGGACTGAGTTGGGTTTGAATAAAAGGCAGGACCTCTGCTTTGGAGGGATATAGGAGGGCCAAGAAATCTGAAGGACAGCTTTTTCTTGGGGGTCATTTCTGAGCATCTCACTACTGCCCCTTTGGCTATGTGCTGCATCAAGTAGGGGCAGTCATCAGAGAAGGGACCACACTGCAGGAACTAGGGGAGGCGTCCTGGCAAGTCTGTACCCAGCCCTCTCCCCACCCTCCATACCACAGGAAGGACGAGGTTGGCCAGAGTTTCCGTGGAATCGTGTCCCGTCCATTTGGAGTGACCTCCTGGAGCCCCTATCCCGGCTGTGTGTGTCAGAGTCCCTGGAACCCTGGGTTCCCCAGATAAACTTGTCCCTCCCCGCTTACATGTCCAGGTGGCCTGGGGTACATGACAGACAGACAGAGTGGATCCAGAGAGATCAGAGACACAGTCTTTTTCTTTCTTTCTTTTTTTTTTTTTTTTCAATTGTGGTATGTTTCCTCCAAGGGACAATAGTGACAGTTCATGGTGATGTGGTGATCAGAGACATAGTCTTTCGAGAGTCCAAAGGACTGTGTAAACAGTGAGGCTGTTAAAACTTGCTTTGTTGTAAGAATGTAAAACATTCTAGAACCGTGACACAGTAAATATACCAAAGTTGTAAGAAAAATAATCGCATGTGGGCCTCCCCAGTGGCACAGTGGGTTGAGCACAGCGCTGTGAAGCTGTCCGCAGTCTCTGCAGCGCGGGTTCGATTCCCAGCCAGCCAGCGAGATTCCCTCATGGCGCAGCAGACCTCTCCTGTCTCGCCCGCTGCTCCCCTCAGCAGTGGATTTCAGTCAGTCTTCCTGTCTGTTCTCGACTCTGTCTCTCGTGAATCCTCTCACCCTCCCACACCTCTGGCCTGTGCCCCAGCTCTTGTATAAATAAATAAATAAATATATCTTTAAAAAAAATATCCCATGTTTCTGGCTCCTTCTATCATCCCTCCCTTTCTTCCTTCTCCCCTTGATTCCAGATCAGGAAAAACAGGAACAGGCTCCTGATGCGGTGTGTCTGCTCCTGTCTGAAAGGAGAGACTTCCCTCTGGGCAGGACCAGCCCATGACTTCAGATCCTTGCCTGATGGCCTGTGTCCGGCTTGGCAAAGGCAGGGAACAGGCAGTGGGAGGCTTGTGTGGACACAGCTGGGCCTGGGCAGGGAGCTGCCTTGGGGGCCTCGGGGAGGACGGGACACTGCATCCTGGAGACACAGCAACCACCGCAGATGAGGGGCCAGAGCCGGCTCTGAGCCTCGGACTGGGAACGAAGGGGACAAGGGGAGTGCCGGCGGGATGGGGGACGACCCAGGAAGATATCCCCAAAGCGGGGGTGAAAGAGCAAATCAGAAAGGGAAGCAGAAATCCAATCCACTCACTCACTGGTTTATTCCATATTGGTTATGACAGTAGCACCTACTGGATGCCAGACATTGCTGAGGAACTGAGGAGACAGAGAAACGAAACTGGACAACTTCGCCATCCAGTGGAGGAACAGACATGTCGACAAGCAGTCATGGTCCTGAATTAGGGCCCCTTTCAAATACAGACAAGGCCGTGGGTGTGCGGTCACAGAGGAGGGGCTGGGGACAGTGACAGGGGCCAGGGGAGAGGGCAGGGTGGTGGGGCACCCAGCAGGACATGCGTTCTAGGCACAGGGGCACACGCCAAAGTGGCAAGAAGTCCAGAGGGAACCAACCCTCACCTCACCTGGCTGAGGGGCCGTGTGCCCAGGGAGAGGAAGGTGAGCAGAGGGGACAACTGGGGCCAGACTCAGAGGCGTCTGCGCTGGCAGCGCTGGGCTCTGGGGTGTGAGGGTCTTGGGGGGGCGCTAGCAGGACAGGAGCATACCAGCCTGAGGAAGGGGTCAGGGCAGGGCTGGCAGGGAGGGGACAGGAGGTGTTGGGTCAGAGTGGAGGTGAGGTCTGGGGAGGCCCAGTAGCCAATTGGGATTAGCGGGCAGCAGTGTCAGAAGGACAAGGGGCTCCCTCAGTGTTTGAAATGAGGCCAAGACTTAATGATGTCGTATAAGGCCTGCCCAGGAGATAGGGTACTGATCACATCCCTGTGCCCCACCAGGAGGTAGTTGGGAATCAGGTACCCCTTGTTCACAGCACATTCGATCAGGTCCTGGGCTACCTCCAGCGCTGCGGCATTCGGTGCCTTTTCTGCAAGACATATTGACCCCATCAGTCAGTAGGATCTCCAGGTTCCTTGCTTAGCACAGAGAGAAGCACCTAGACTCCAGTCCTTCTGCACCCTCCCCACCACCAACCTAGTCAGCAAGTTCACATATGTTGCAGCAGCCAGGCACAAGGAGAAAATGAGGTCATGTGTTCCCCAATGGTTTCCTGTTAAGTTTCCTCCAGAAAGTTAAAAACTGCTCTGGAAGAGAGCAGCATGGCACACTGCTGTGTGCTACGAGGCTAATATGGCATCTGTGCTGTCCACCACCTTGCCATCACGGGCAGTGGTGCTCCCCAACCTTGTTGCCATGGTTACCCAGCGAGAAAATACATTTGCCATCAAATCCATAAAAGCACCAAAGTATGCAAAAGCTGTTTTTCTGTCCAGCTCCACACTTACCTGGGCTATGGCTACAAAACAAGGTTGAACTGAGTAGGGGATGGGTGTTTCAGCTTCAAGGGGCCTCCAGTAACACGCACCTTATTTTGAGTCCACTTTAAAATTAAAATGTTCTACTGGCACTGGCAGGATCCACAGTGCTGTCACTCCCCCTGCGCTCAGACGTTCCACATGGAACTGTCTCACCCAGAGTCCGCTGCCCATGTTCACCCCTTACCCATAAAATTGCCCATGAAGGCGATTCCCAGGGCAAAATCATTGTGCCCATAGCTGTGACTTCCTTGGATATTCCAGCCAACTCCTTCATACACACCACCGTCCTCACCCACCAGGAAGCTGGGAGGGCAAAGAAAAGTAAAGAAAGTCACTCTGGAAAGCAGAATTGGCTTCATTCACTCCTCAGATCATTAATTCATTCTTTCATCCATTTATCAGATATTGACTGGCCATTTCTTATGTGCCAGTGTACACAGAGGTCAAAAAACAAACAAACAATCCCAGTCCCTAACCCCTTGAAGTGAAGACAGATTATGTCAAGAATTGCTGACTTCAGTGCACTGCAACATGGCCTTCCTTCCCAGCAAGCCACTGAGGCTGATGCCCCCATGGTGGCCAGGGGCCTCCTTGACACTAGTATTACAGATACATTGTTCTTCTGTGTCACATGGAGCTGGAAACCATTCTGTTCTTGAAATATCCTCTTGCCTGGCTTCCGCAAGCTCACACCATGCTGATTTGCCTGTATTTTGCTGCCTCCTTCAGGTCCCTCAGCCTTCCCACCTTCCTCCAGCAGTATGGTCTCCCCTTGCTCTCCACACACTCAACACGTTCTTCCTGGACAGTCATCCACTCCCACAGCTTCCATTCCTATTTATTAAAACCAACATGTCCTAACAAACCCATTTCCTTCTGGATTTCCCCAACCAGAAAACTACACATCATCGTAAATGCCTCCCTCTCTCTCTCCCAGCACCTTCCAATCATTGCTCATGGCTTTGCAGCTCATTCTGAGCTGTTGATTACTTGCTTACTCTCTTCTCTCTCAACTCCACTGGCAGAGGGACTATGACCATATATATCTTGCTGAGCACAAGGCACAGAGCAGATACCCAATAAATATTGGTTAAAAAAATAGAAAATGGTGAGTGAGTGGGTGGGCACTCTGTCTTGATTACAGTCCAAGTCAGGGTCCGAGGTGACACATGAGGCCGAAGTAGAAAAGGGACACCACAGGATTTCAAAAAACACTCATTGGTGTGCACCTGAAATTTATACAATGCTATAATGTACTATTACTTCAATAAATATTAATAGTAGGAAAGTCCCTGGTGGCCTCGGGGCTAAGGCTCTGTGCTACCACAGTGACAGCCCACCAAGAAGGACTGAGTTCGACCCCCGTTCAGGGAGCTGCCCACATGGTGCAGCAGACATCTCCTGACTCGCCCGCTGCTCCCCTCAGCAGTGTTTCAGTCAATCCCCCTGTTCTGCTCCCCACTCTGTCTCCGGTGAATCCTTTTACCCCCTGCACTTCTGGCCTAAGCCCCAGTTCTTCTATGCAAAAATAAATAAATAAAATCTTTAGGGCCTCCCCTGGTGGCGCAGCGGTTGAGCGCTAGGCTGAGAAGCTGCCCACAGCCTCTGCAGCACCGGCTCGATCTCCAGCTGCAGGGTGAGGGTCCCACATGGTGCACAGACCACTCCTGCCACCCACTGCTCCCCTCAGCTGTGTATTTCTTCAGTCTGCCTGTTCTGCTCCCTGCTCTGGCTCTGGTGAATTCTCTCACCCTCCAGTGCTTGTATAAATAAATAAATAAATCTTTAAAAAACAAACAAACAAACAAATAAATAAATAAATAAAATCTTCAAAAATAATAATAATAAAAGTCAAGAAACAGGGATTGACCCTAAAAACTGAATACAACAGCAAAAGTAGCATTCCTTCAGCTTCTGACATTTTCCATTTATTTGAAGATAGAGAGTAAAACCAAAACATTCTCTTTGGGTTCCTTTAATGCCAGGTCTATAATAAAGAGACACATTAAGCTAATGGAAAAGCAGAAACTACATAGAGAGCTACCTTAATTTTCAAAGAAGGGACTTAGTTATAGAGTATGATAAATTTAAACTATTCGTCTGTGACCTAATCACAACCCATTTTATAGAATCTTGGGTGAATTCACTTTTGCATTTGTGCTATTCTGGCTAGCTGCCTCGCTCCTCAACTTCCATTTTAAAAGCAGCCTTTACACGGGGGGTTGAGCACAGCACTGTGAAGCTGTTCACAGCCTCTATGGCATGGGTTCGGTCCCTGGCCAGCCGGGGAGATACCCACATGGCACGGCAGACCTCTCCTGTCTCGCCCGCTTCTACCCTCAGGAGTGTATTTCATCAGTCTGCCTGTTCTGCTCTCCACTCTGTCTCTGGTGAATCCTCTCACTCTCCCACGCCTCTGGCCTGTGCACCAGTTCTTGTATGCATGGATAGATGAATCTTTAAAAAAAAAAAAAAGGCATGAGCCTTTGGTGACCTTCCACAGGGATCTCCCTTGTCACAGTTGCTTCTAAACTCTTCTTGTCAGCATCTTCCCAACCTCCCATAAAGAATGTGCCCAGGACTAACCCTTAGCTATACTCTAAAGTATATTCTGTCCAGTGTCTTGCAAGAATAAAATATAACATTTGATATAATATATCTAGTATGAAGGAAGTCTTAGTAAACATAGGTGCCTCCCTCAGCCTCTCTTCATATGTCCCTGAAGAAAAGGCAGGCCATGCTTCCACCCATCCTACTTACTTATACCCGATGTCACAGAAGCCCCTGGCATCCATGTGGTAGGACTGTAGATCTCGGACATAAATCTGGCAGTCCATGGACACTGTGCAGGGTAACCCAACCGTGTGGATGATGATGACGTATTTGGCGGGGAGATTCATTTTAGGACAGTGTGTCTCTCTGGCTTCCCAAGTTGACCGCGTGATGATGTTGGGGCAAGCTATGGTGAGGTGAAAATCCAAGGGAAGTCACTTATGCCCATATATGGACAATCTCACAACTGCAGGCCTGGTGACCCCCCTCAAGCACCCCAATTTCTGGCACCCACTGGCACAGCTTATCATGAACTCAGTTGTGGCATTCTGGGAAAGCCCAGAGAGTGATCACCTGGGTTAGGGGACTTGAGCCAAGGAACAGAGTCCAAAATGTACATTAGTGGTAGCAACTGTGAAAACCAGTGTGTGAGCTGAAGGGAAAGGACTGTTGGTCATGCAGAGGCATGGCCATTTTATTCAAGAGATGACATAGACTTGTGTGCTTGAATAGGCCTTGCAAATATATGCAGGAATGAATTCGTATGTGTCAGGGCCAATATAGTAAGTCATTGGACTCACTGTCCAAAGAGAGAAAAACTTTGACATCTACAAACAATTAAAGAATTGTCATTCTTGGAAATAACATCTTCTGAAAGCAAGAAAAAATTTATTTTTAGGTTTACAATTTTAAAAAACTTATTTTAAAAATATCCTTGAATCCAATCAAAGCTCCACTTGAGCAGAGTTAAACTACTGAAACTGATAATTGCAATAAGTACCTTTAGGTTACTGCTCCTGAACATTGCAGGATATTTTTATTATCCAACTTCTTGGAATGTTCATTCTGATATCAGTATAACCTGGGAACTCAAGTTTTTCTCAGCATTGTAGCTATATTGCTGGCTGTTTTTTTCCATTTAGAACAGTGTGAGTGTGAGTGTGTGTGTGTGTGTATGTGTGTGTAGTCATGTAGTACAAATAATGTGCATTGATATTTAATCTACCCTATTTCCATTTTATATATACAATATATGCATGTTGTTAATCTCTTCATTGTCTATATTTACTCACTTAAAATTTCTGTCCATTTTATTCACATCTGTATCTCCAGTACCTAGGAGAATGCCGAGCATTCAGTAATATTTGTTGATTGATTGAAAAATGTGTGTGCGAGTATATATACATATATATATTTATGTCAAGAATAAGTCTCTAGCTATATCATTCTGTTGGAATGGAGAGGACAAGATTCCCTCTCAGAATTTTCCAGATCTCACAGTTATGATAGGCATGAGAAGTTCTCAGTCCAAGGAACGGCTGAGCACCAATAGGAGAGAGTGCTCCTCAACATGGTGAGCAGTCCCTGGGTCCAGGGTGAGCTGGGACTAAGAGGCTTACCTTTCCTGGGCATCACTGGCTGTTGAGGGGCCAGGCAGATCTCCTCTTTCAAGATTAGTGGCTGAATATACCTGGATGACAGGTGACCTTTCCGGATGGCATACAAGATCAGGCCCTCTGCAGCTGATAAGGCAGCAGGGCTGGGACTAATGCCTGCAAGAAGATAGCGTGAAACACCGAACTGTCAGTAAAAAACTCCAACTGGTCTGGACTTGGAGGAAGGACAAGACAACCCCCTCACCCTGAGTAGCTAATGGATAGGAAGAGAGAAAACTGGACAGAGGGCCTAAGAGGCACTGAATTACTTGGAGAGAGCTCTAGGAAGTCAAGGTGGTGACCTCTTCAAATTCCACTCTGGACTGTATCTACTCTGTCCCTACTGCAAGCCCTGGCAGCAGTTACATCTACCTGCAAAGGAAAGCCCTGTCAGGCATGTGTAACATGGAGAAAAAGGTGACAGTGTTACTTATTAGTTCCCATCACCAGGCAGATGGAAAATGTTCTTCACACCCATTAACTCACATGGTCACAGAAAACCTCTGACATAAGTGCTATTACTCCGCCCATTGGCAGATGAGGACCCTGGCAGATATCAGTTCTTCTGTACTAGCTCTCAACTCCATTTCTGTTCTGTTCTCTCTTCTGTTTGCAGAAGGCTAGAAGCCTGCAAACTATATTCCCCAGACTTCCCTGCCTGTGGTTTCTGGTCTGGTTCAACCAATAGGAAGCGCTGGAGGAAGAGAGACACCAAGCTTTTCTGCCCCTGCCAGCCATAATCTCAGTGTCTCACATCAGACCCTAGGACTGACTGCAATAACTGTGAACTGAACTCAAGTGGTGTCAGTCATGGCTCAGCATGGGAGAGAGGCTGGAAAGGGGGAAGAGAACTGAAAGAAAGCCAAGTCATAGAATCCAAGGAGAAAAGGACTTCAAGAGAGATGCACTTGTCAGAGAAGACAAGCAAGCTATTGAGACAAGGGGAGGACGAGAGCATGCACAGCTCTCTGGCAGAGCGGCAGGGGGAACCACCATTACCTATCTTATTGCCGAAGAAGGCGAGCCCCAAGGAGATGTTGTTGTAGCCCTGGGTGTGCACGCCTTGGACATTCCAGCCCACACCTTCATACACCCGGCCATCGTCCCCAACCAGGAAGCTGCCGGGCAAAAACATGGTTTGAATGACAAACCTCTGTAACGGAAAGCCTCTCACCCATCCTCCTAAGGGAAAGCAGTGCTACGGCCCCAGTGACAGCAGTGGGAGGGCAGGGGAACACCCATGTTAAACTTCCAAGAGATGCAGAAATAGATTTTTAATTTTGTTATGACTTAGTTTACATGTGATTCCAAGAGCCTCATTTTAAAAATACTCTTTTGGTTCAAAGTGGACTTTGAACATGCAACTCAAGAGCCTGAATTCATGCACCATGTTTTTATTTTTTTTTTAAAGATTTATTTATTTATACAAGCACTGGGTACAGTCAGAAGCGCGGGAGGGTGAGAGAATTCACCAGAGCCAGAGCGGGGAGCAGAGCAGGCAGAAGGACCGAAATACACTGCTGAGGGGAGCAGCGGGCGGCAGGAGAGGTCTGCATGCCATGTGGGACTCTTGCCTGGCGGCCGGGGATCGAACCGGCGCTGCAGAGGCTGCTGGCAGCTTCACAACCCAGAGCTCAATCGCTGTGCCACCGGGGAGGCCCAGCACCATGTTTTTAAATGACAGGACCAAGAGCTTGAACATTCTTCAAAGCCTCTCCCACCCCACCCTTTCACTGCTCCCCCTGGGAGGAGGTCCTTTAGGGCACCCATTGGGAGACAGCTTCTTGGGTGAGAGCCCTGCTGTGCGCAGGAGCTGCAGGTGGTCTCAGCCTAGCTCTGGGTCCTGGCTTCCTGTCATGTCACGTGGAACACCTCCTGTGACTCCTCAGACCTTGGCTTTTACCTGGGAAGTTAAGGAGGTGGTGCTTCTCCTCCAAGTCCCTGGAGCAGCCAGACAGCCTCCTTAGGTAATGCCTATGAAGACCTTTGTGGCCATAAGTTCCTGAGAGCTCCCAGGGTGATGGCAGAGTTGCACAGCCTCCCTTGTGTCTTTCTAGGGGGTCCCCACCTCCAAGGCCACATCTGAACAAAGAGCGCAGAGCAGTCCCTCCTAGTGCCCCTGGAGGATTTGTGATTCTGTTTGCTTGTTTAACATTTTTAGTCATTATAAAAGTAACATGAATGAAAAAGTGGGAGAAATAGAGGAAGAGGAGTGAGAGGACCCCTGGAGCCCAGAGGGAACATGAACGCAGACTCGGCCCCAGCAACCTCTTACTTGTAGGCCACGTCACACCAGCCTTTGGTGTAGACAGAGTGGGACTGAAGGTCCCGCAGCCGCGCGCTGCAGGCCTCCCCCACCTCGCACTCCATCCCCAAGACCTGGTCTGTGATGACATAGGCCACAGGCAGGGTCAACGGGGCACTGCACGTCAGTGATCTTGCCCCCCACTCCTTGCGGGGGACAATGGTGGGCACACCTGTGGAGAAATGGCAGGATGACATGCTGCAGTCCAGGCCACATCCCCCTACATGCTGCCCTCACACGCTGGGACGCCGCTTCCCCTGGAGGAGGCCTTCACCACCACAGCCCCCTTCTCATCTCCTCATCCCCACTTCGGCTTGAAAACAAAGCCCAAGTTGAGTCTGCTTTCAATCTGGAAAGTCAAATCCCCTTGTTGCCCAAAGACTTTCTTCTCCTATTTCCCTAGAGGACAAATCCCACCCCCAACTCCTCTATGGTTGTACTCCCTGTGGTGCCCCACACCTTCCTCTAGAGTTTCTGGAAGCACCTCAGGATAGATGCCAGAGGGTGCATTTTCCCCACTGGCATTTGCCCTGGATCTCTGACCGTGTCTCCTGTCTGGTGACTCTCTGAGGGAAGCCCTGTCACTGTCCTCAAACTAGGGGCTCCCAGGCCTGAGACCCACAGGCAGCTCCATGAATACTGGCTCCCTGGCTTTCTTCCAGATGGAAACGTGCTGTGAGAGCTCCACACAGGCCCAGAGTCTCTGAGGGCTCCTTGTCTCTCCTCAATCCGGATAACTCCCAGGAACTCCCCAAAGAACAGTGTCTCCCCACTCCTTCAGGGAGCTAGAGGCTGGGTAGGGGGGAGCATGCCTTTGCCCCCTGGGATTTTGTTCCCCCTTCCAAGAACCGACCTTTGCAAAACCTTTGCCACATGTGAGTCATTGGTAATGTGAGTCAATGGTAATGGGATCCTATACCCCTCCAGCACCCAACCCAGCTATAATGAAGCCTGAGAAACATTTCTGGTAGCCTAAGGAGCCCCAGTAAACCCCCAAGCCACCTCACCATTGTGGCCCTTGTATAACAGATGTAAGATGCCAACAAACAGGTCCCAAAGCTTCTCTGACAATCCTCTGGCTTGGGTTTCATTCCAGGAGAACTGTGGGGAGTCCCCTGCAGAGGTATATTGCGCTTGGTGATCCTCAGAGAACACCTGGACCAGCTCAGAGGGGGGCCGTCCCAGCCCGCAGCCCACCTTCTCCTCCCAGGCCCCTGGCTTCCTCTAGGGGGCAATCCACAGATGTTTGCAGCCTTCCCTGCCTCTCAAAGCTGCCCAAGATCCCCATCCTCCCTCTCCTCTAACCCCCTTCCATTCTAGGGAGTCTGCCGTCTTTCCTGACCCTCGTCTGAGCAGCTGCTTACCCTGGTCCGCCTGCATACTTATTAACAAATCCAAGTGCCACGTACCCAGATGTCATCATTTTTGGTGAACACTCATACATGTATTAAGCACCAACTGATACAGGCAAGGTTCTCAAAACAGAAATTTGAAGATCATTGTGACCACACTCACAAACTAGATAATTTAGACAGGATTAATAGAGGATTTGTCACCATGGTGCCCTATGCCTCCCCACATTGAGTACCAGGGGTCCCGGGAGCAGTAACCCACTATAGCATCACCAAACACCATATCCCACAGCCCCTTTCTGTCACTCACAAGCATGTTAAGGGCACAAAGTTTGTGGCAAAGAACAACTTTAAGAGGTAGGCAATGAAGAATAACTCCCTCTCTATAAAGATGGGAAACTGAGGCTCAGAGAGATTATGCCACTTGTCAAAGACCACACAAGTTTTCAGCTGTGGGCTTGGATTCCAACCCAGGCTGCCTGACCCTGGAACCATGTTCATAACCACTACACCCTGTGGCCTCCCCAAAGTTGTCAGATGACCTTGGGCAAGTCACTGCTGTAATGTGACGGGTTTTTCCCTGTCAGAGAAGGTCACTGAGAGTGGCCTCCATGATTCTGAGAGTATTTCCTTCTGAGCCGAGGTGTGCTGGGCTGGCTGGAGAGATTGCTGAAGATGCAACCAGCTCAGCAGGGGAGGGGGCCTGAGCTGGCTGTGAGGGGAACAAGGACCCTGGAGGTCGGGAGAGGTAGGAGCACTGGGTCTGGACAGGACAACCTACAAGTGAAACCAGGCAGGGATTTTGATGGCAAAAGCACCTCTGACTCAATGAAGGAAAACTCACCCCAGGCTCTGAGAGCCAGAGCAGAGAAGACGGGAAACCACAGCAGCATCCTCTTGTGGTCCCAGGTGCCGATGAGAGAGCGCGGCCGGAACCCTGAGAGATACGGACAGTTAAGCCGATCACAGTCATCATCAGTGACACCCACCCACTGCACTGACCCCTGTCCACCTGCCTCCATCCTGTGGGCTGGCACCTGGCCAGCCTCCCCAGCTTCTCCAGCACAAGACTTGCAGGTGCTCAGTGAAGATGAGGTTGCTGACACCTCTGCCTAGCACCACCCTCGACCAGAGCCATGTCCATAACAGATGCTTATTCCCAGACTCCTCTTCCCTGGGAGCTCCTGGTTTCCCTGTAAGAAGTCAGTGCCTCATCTTAGACTCCCAGCATACATTAACAATTTCTAAAATCCATGAGTAGCTGTTATGAACAAACCCTATATAGATATTGCTCCATCTAGTGCTGCAACTTTATGTGTAATCCTTGTTAAATTCCTGAAAGATATCCTTAGTCCCATTTTATAGAAAAGAACACAGAGGCTCGAAATGGTGAACCACAAAGAGCAGCAGGGTGGGCCTCATCCCAGCGCTACTTGAGTCAGAGGTGTGTTAATGTGGCAAAGGCTCCCCTGTGTTTGTCACATCATTGAGCTGCAATTGCAAACTTAGCCCCTTATCACAGCAGGGGAAGGGCGGCTGGTGTCTCCCATGCCTGCCCCACTCGCGAACACCAAGCCAAGGTTTACCCACCATGGCTCACATCATTGTGAATTAAAATTCTGTAACTTAAAATAAAAAGGACTTATTAGAATAGGAGGCATGAGACGTAGTCAACAGAGATTCCAGACTAGATAGAATGGAAAGGAACAGGGGAGAGGTAACCCCAGGACCGCCAGCCTCAGCAAGAGAGGTACATGAGAGGCAGAACCAAATTCATTTAGAAGAGTTTAGAGCAAAAAAAGTTTTCTTATTTGAAGAAAATTCAAGAGGGGGATAAGTGGAAATTTCTCCACCACATTAATGTTTTAACCTTATTGTCAGGAAGAAACACTCTCACATACACTCACGCTACCTGTGGGTCCTGTGCTGTCCCAGCCCACAGTTCAGGGCGCAGGGGGCTCCCCCCCAGTTTCCAGTCTTGACCTCTGCCCTGCCCTCCTCCTCCAGCAGCCTCCTGGGCATGCACTGTCCCCCACGCTAGAGGACACGCCCACCCCAGAAATGGGAGGGCTGAGCTCTGCCTCCCAGGAGGGAAGAGGAAAGCCTGGGGTCCCTACAACACACTGAGCAGGGGGCAGGACTCCCGGGCTGCAGCCAGCTCCTCTGTCCAGGCTCTGAGAGAAACCAGGTGAGAGCAGACTCCCTGACAGAGGGACCCGCCCTGTGCACAAGCCAGCACCTCCTCCCTGGGGAAGGGCGCGATTGCTCAATGCTGCTGAGCTCCTTCCTCATGCCCTGCCTGGGATTCCCCCCAACACTCCAGGGTGCCCGTGGGAGGGGCCATCAGCTCTGGGAGTGTGTGTGAGTAGAGGCCACTCACCCACCAGCCCAGCCTGCCCCCCTCACCAGCAGGGCAGGATGGGGCCAGGGAAGTGGGAAGCTTCCTTTCTGGAGGCAGTCTTTCCCACCCATAGCCAGTTTGCCCTTAGCATCAAACTGCTTCCCGGAGACAAACGTCATAAGAAGTGTTTCATCAACCAAAACTCTCCACCCCTTCACCCAACCCGTCAGTGGCCTTCATCTTCAGCTCTGGTCTCCTAGAATCCCTGTACCTCCTCTGAGGAGGTTTATACATAAGGCTTTCAGTCCTGCTCTGTCAAAGGTATCTGAAGTACACCCAAGAAAGGGGGTGCTCAGACCAAAGCCCCTCCATGAGAGGCAGCCAAACACCCACCACATTCCTCACAATGACAGGCCCACTCACACTTCAGGGGCCAGAGCTGGGAAGGGGTCTCTTGGAACCTACAGACCTGTTGGCGTTTGAAGGAAACATGTTTCGTGAGCTCCATCCGCCATATTGGGGGACAGGGTCTTGGACAAAAACCTGAGAGAGAGACATCTAGCAGAAGACCCAGAATTACAATTGGTGACAAAGACAGAAACAAGCTCATGAGTTTTCCAAAACCTTGGCAATATCCTCATGTCTGACATTTTTATTTATGATTCTGAATGTTTTCCCATGGCGATTAGTAGGAAACCTTAGAATGGTTTATAAGCTCATCTTTAACACAGCAAGTGAGGGAGAGCTAGAGACTGGCTCACTCTGAAGTCAACTTTAAGAGGAGAAATCCAAGTGATAACGGAATGAGGCAGCCCAAAAGGGGGGAGGAAACAGGGCAGGCCTGAGGTCCCTGACAGGACACCCAGGGCTTCTGGGCAGACAGTCAGAAGCAGGGCCCAGGCATGTCCAGGAGGGATTTTTATGAGAACTAAAGAGGTGCTCCTTCCACAGGGGAAACTGTACTTAGTGTTGTGTACTTCTCAATAAAAACAGTTATGATACAATTGTATAAATTACATAGACCAACTTATTAAACACAAGATACTTTTAATCAAAGTAATTGGAACTCAAAGTCACTGAGATACCATAATTGGTTAAGTAGTTACCTTATTTTTGAGGAAGAGAACTCTTTGGGCCAATTTTGGCACTAATTTGATTCAGTATTTCATTTTCTTGGGTCATTTTAAATACATTTTAATTTAAGAAGTAGTATTCTACACTTGTAGCTGATATTATCCAAGTAAAATGTGTCCTGAAATCTACAAACATATTTAGAAAAATATCTAGTATATTTTTACTGTACATATGCTTTAACTTCAAGAGGAGTCACACTAGATTGAGAATATAATTTAAAGTCTTCACCCTCAGACACAAATGTCTAGTCAAAATCACTTTCTTTACTTCATCAGTTCCATTGTAAAATTGAAAATTCAAAGTCATAAATATGTAAAATTCAATTTGTAAAATTTTACCTAGTTATAACCCTGCATATTCGTCATAATTTTTCAAATTTTATATGAACTCTAAATACTAAAAAGACCATAACTGCGATCTGCATTGTAGAATTTTCCTTTTAAAATAATACTTACATATTCTATTTTTAAAAAAGGAAAAATTTTTAAATAGCAGAGAATAGATAGGCTCATATGAGATGCAATTGAAGTGAATCTTCTTCATTTTTTTAATATTTTCTACATTAGAGGAATTATTTACCTACTCAGTCTAATTGTTGACATTATTAATGCAACTTCAATGGATAGTTTTGCTCTTTTTCTCCAAATAGCTTCCTTAAATTAAGGGTACAGTGCAAAGCAACTATGTTTGTACCCTCGTCATGTCTGCGCACATGAAATTCAAAGTCTAGAGGGAAGAGAGGCAGAAAACAACCACACAGTCACTGAGAAGGTTTCAAATGCTGGAGCGGCTGTGCGGAGAAGGAGCAGGGCACCAAGCAAGTCTTGAGGAAGTGACATTGGGCGGGAGACACAGAAGACATCATTTTGAGTCAGTCTTTTCAGGCACAAAATATGCCCTTTAAAAGCAAAGTTTCTCCACTTTTTAAAATTTCAGTAAGGTTTGCTAGACTTGTAGTTTTAAGTATTCATTCTAATCTCTTAGTTTTCTTTGATAGAGTCCAGTCATATGTACCTTGTCATTTCTTGGCTTTTCTCATATGTATTGTTTAACCTAATTTTTTTCTCTTGATTTTTGTGGGGTTTTTTGTTTTTGTTTTTGGTTTTTTTTTTTAAAGATTTATTTATTCATTTATACAAGCACTGGGTAAAGTCAGAAGCGCAGGAAGGTGAGAGAATTCACCAGAGCCAGAGCAGGGAACAGAACAGGCAGACCGATGAAATACACTGGTGAGGGGAGCAGCGGGTGGCAGGAGAGGTCTGCGCGCCATGTGGGACCCTCGCCTGCGGCCGGGGATCGAACTGGCGCTGCAGAGGATGCGGGCAGTTCGCAGCCCAGTGCTCAACCGCTGCGCCACCGGGGAGGCCCTATCTTGATTTTTGAATTTTCCATTATTTGATCTTTTTCTTCTAAGACATTATTTGTTACGTATATTCACTGTTACTTCCTTTTTTAAACTGGTGTTTTCTGAAATGGTTGTTTCTTTCATTTCGTGTTCTCTCCTGTATTTTATTGCCTGGTTTCAAACTTGTTATGCTTCTAATTAGTTGTTCTTTCATATCTTGTATCACTGTCTTGATATCTTTATCTGTTTGAGATTAGTTTATAGCTTTCATCTATGAGCACCCTTTTCATGACAGCAGTGGGAGGCTTGTGTGGACACAGCTGGGCCTGGGCAGGGAGCTGCCTTGGGGGCCTCGGGGAGGACGGGACACTGCATCCTGGAGACACAGCAACCACCGCAGATGAGGGGCCAGAGCCGGCTCTGAGCCTCGGACTGGGAACAAAGGGGACAAGGGGAGTGCCGGCGGGATGGGGGACGACCCAGGAAGATATCCCCAAAGCGGGGGTGAAAGAGCAAATCAGAAAGGGAAGCAGAAATCCAATCCACTCACTCACTGGTTTATTCCATATTGGTTATGACAGTAGCACCTACTGGATGTCAGACATTGCTGAGGAACTGAGGACACAGGGAAACAAAACTGGACAACTTCGCCATCCAGTGGAGGAACAGACATGTCGACAAGCAGTCATGGTCCTGAATTAGGGCCCCTTTCAAATACAGACAAGGTCGTGGGTGTGCGGGCACAGAGGAGGGGCTGGGGACAGTGGCAGGGGCCAGGGGAGAGGGCAGGTGGCGGGGCACCCAGCAGGACATGCGTTCTAGGCACAGGGGCACACACCAAAGTGGCAAGAAGTCCAGTGGGAACCAACCCTCACCTGACTGAGGGGCCGTGTGCCCAGGGAGAGGAAGGTGAGCAGAGGGGACAACTGGGGCCAGACTCAGAGGCGTCTGCGCTGGCAGCGCTGGGCTCTGGGGTGTGAGGGTCCTGGGAGGCGCTAGCAGGACAGGAGCATACCAGCCTGAGAAAAGGGTCGGGGCGGGGCTGACAGGAAGGGGACAGGAGATGTTGTGTCAGAGTGGAGGTGAGGTCTGGGAAGGCCCAGCAGCCAATTGGGATTGGGGGCAGCAGTGTCAGAAGGACCAGGGGCTCCCTCAGTGTTTGAAATGAGGCCAAGATTTAATGATGTCGTACAAGGCCTGCCCAGGAGACAGGGTATTGGCCACATCACTCTGCCCCACCAGGAGGTAGTTGGGAATCAGGTACCCCTTGTTCACAGCACATTGGATCAGGTCCTGGGCTGCCTCTAGGGCTGCAGCATTGGGTGAGGCACCTGCAAAAGACAACAGGCCCATCAGTTGTAGGTCCAGGACCCCTGCCCCCCGTACCCCCCACTCCTAGACCCTCACCCACCCGCACCACCAAGCTGGTATTGAATATATTCCACCACTGCCAGTCACCCTTCTATACAGACAGAAAACAAACCCAATATTTCAGATTCTTTGGTGTCAAAGTTCTTCCTGAATCACACAAGCAGAGCCCAGGATAAAATACATGATTATCCACTGCAAAGGTTTAGCCTGGGAGTTCTTACAGGGAGAAGTTTAGCCCCCTGGGGGACATTTGGTGATGTCTAGAGACATTTTGGTAGTCATAACAAGGGGGCTACTGCTAAACACCCTACAACACACATGGGGGCCCACTGCAGATTATCTGACTCAGCAAGTCAACAGGGCCAAGGCCTGCCATCCCTCTATGGCCACACATTTCCTGACCCTTCATGTGTCCCACCCCAATGCCCAGTCCCATCTTCAGGTACATCCCTGGGTCAACCCCTGTCCCTGGCCAATGCTCATCTTAGAATCAACCTGAACCAGCCCCTGTGGCATGGCCTCCTCTTCCCAGAAGCTCAACAAAAGGCTCCTGAGTCTAAACAAACTTCAGCCAAGAGAGCTGGGCAGTGACAATTCTCAGTGCCAGGGACAGGGCTCATGCGTGGCTTTGTGCTCACTTCATTGCTCTGTAAACATACACATAAAGATCTTTTCCCTCATCTTACACATGCCTTGGATATCAGAAGAAAGAGACATTGGGTTGGATAGAGTAAAGGCGGGTCTTCTGTTGGGGGGATGTCACCTTGGTCACATTGAACCTAGTCAAGTATCAAATTTAAAGCTGGGTAGACCCAGCTTACCGGACCCCAACATAATGCCTGATATGTCTGAGTCTGATATTGTCCCTCAAACACCATCCAATGACCACCAGGGCCCAAAACAGCCACTCACCTGAGAAGGTACCCATGAAGGCAATGCCCAGGGCAATGTCATTGTAGCCAGTGGTGTGGGAGCCTTGGACATTCCAGCCCACTCCTTCATAAATGACGCCATCCTGGCCCACAAGGAAACTGGAGGATCCAAGGGGACATATAGGTCAGCATGAAAGATGGGCACTTTGGGTGGTTTCGTCCATCCAACCACACCTTTACCCATTGGACCCATACTTGAGCTATCTCCTAGATACTGAGTTACAAAGAAGAAGGTGCTGCTCTGGTAAACCAACCCTCATAGAGCAGGGGAGGGCAGAAAGCCCAGATGTATGACCTGTATTGATTTCTGAAGTGTAAGATTCCTACCACAGCCCATTTCAGACCACCAATGTTTAACGAGTGGCTCCAAAACCTCCGAATCTCCAGCAATCACTCTTGGAAGCCCCTGGGGCTCCAGCACCCCATTGCTGGCCCCAACGAGCTTAGGGCTGTGAAGTCAACAGTGGCAGCCTTCTGCCTGAACTCCCACACCTCGCCAGCAAAACTGCTTCCCAAGGCGACCTGCAACCTCCTCATACAAAGACAATTCTCTGACCTTGCCCCTCCAGACCTCTTTGTGCATTCTACCCTGCAACTCCTCCACCCTTTGGAATATTCCCTCCCCTTAACTTCCATGGCATGGCACTCTCTCCCCGCCTTTTCTGGCTGCTGCCCCTCAGACTCATCTGCACCTCGTCTTCCTGCCTACATGAGCTCCTCTGGGTACAGCCCTCTCTTTATAACACTTCTCCCAGGATGAATCGTCTGCTTCCTTAGCTTCAGCTGCCATTCAGAAAGTCGTGTGTCCACACATGGACCCACCTTCTTCCCTACCTGTTCCCTCTCTGAGCTCCCCATTGTGGTGAAAGACACCCCATCCTCCATGGCCCCAACCAAGAATGTGGGCCTCAGCCCACTGCTTGACCCATACAGCAGCCAAGGCTTATCAAGCACGTCTCCCAACCACTGTCCCTACTGGACTCTGCACCTTCATCATGAACACCTAACCACTCAGATTCCTCTACTTCATCCAGGATGGCAGCCACCACCCAACCATGATGCCATCCCGTCCTGTCTGACTGCAACAGAGTCCTAAGATTGACCATCTCACCACCAGTTTTCCCTTTTCCAATCCATTCCAGAAGCAACAACCAGGGTGTTCTTCCTAGTGCAAGTCTTATGTCAAGACCTCTTTTCTGTCTTTAGGCATGGAGCTCAAACTCTTCAGCTTCAGTACAAGATACTTCGTGATATGGCCTCACATTTTGGAACATGCTCAAAGAGAATGACTTACCCTTAGCTGCATTCCAGATAAGGCCCATCCATGTCTGTGAGAGAAATCAGTGTGTTTACACATGGACACGTCTCACACCGTGGGCGTCTTATCATTTGTCCCTTTTGCTTCCCTTTCAAAGATTCAATTTCTGTCCCCAAGTGTTAAGAAGCCCACCTGCCCTCAGGTTTACTTACTTATACCTAGTGTCACAGGCTTCATATTTGTCCATGAAGAGGGACTGGATATCTTGGACTAACTGACGGCACTCATCAGACATGTGGCAGGTTCTCCCTGCGGTTTGGATGATGATGACGTACTTGGCTGGGAGGCTCATCTTGGGGCAGTGGGTTTCTCTAGCCTTCCAAGCAGACCTCAGGACAATGGGGCATGCTGAGGAAGGTCAGAGGAACAGGAACATGAGGATTCATTTTGCTCCCTGCAACTGCCCCGTATCAACACCTCACTACTGAATACCCCACCAGCTTGGTATCCTACCTAGGGTATGGACTCAGAAAATCCCAGAAACACTTGATGGACCACCTGGGAATGGGCTGAGAGGAAGGAACCAAAGATCCATGGTTTCTAACCCAAAAAGCAGAACCCAAAGGACAGTGAACATGTCCTCCTGAGGAACTGTGGATGCTTTGCTCCCTTTTGGAGAAATCAGCTGAATTTTCATTTGAAAGCATGTCTTTGAGGGCAATTGTAATCCATAAAGTTCTCTATCAATCCAAGCAACTATTACTATTGACAAATGGCACCAATACAAAGGCATAGAAAATTTATGTAGAACTTGAATCTAGTATAGCTAATTTTCTCTAAAATAATTTAAGTCCAAGAAAAGGCTGAAAGGCTTATTAACTACACTGATTTTGATGCTGCTACCTGTTAAATCCAGCATCTAGCTTTTACTACCAAAATTATGTTCAACTCCCCCTCTAAACTTGGTGGCTGTGGTAACTTGAGCACTTCCACCCACTGTTCTGTTTTCAGTGTTCAGAAAGGTATGCACTTGTGCTTGTGTTGTACATCCGGCCCCTCTCCAGGATTTTTGCCCCTCCATCACACTTTTCATCATAAGACACACCAAATCTTGTGCTCATTTATTTGCTTATTATCATTCCCTACCCTCTAGCCAGAAACCCCAAGAAGGGACTATTTTTGTGTGTTTTGTTCCTTGGGATGACCCAATGTCCAATGCTGGATGATTGAAGAAATGAGGACATATATGTTACACCAGCATGAAGCCATGGCTCTATCATTCTAGGAATCTGGGGGGAAAATGGTGACCTGAGGGTCCCTCTCAAGGTTTGCTGGCTGTAAAAGTTCAGAGAAGTTGGGTAACCAGTTTCCTCTACTGCTAAAGAGGACCTTGATGCCCCAGCCAGATAAGACACTGGCAAGCAGCTAAGAAAAAGGGCCTCACACTGTGGGACCGAAGCTAAAGGGCCTCACACCGTGGGGCCAAAGATTCCTTGTGCCTCACACCGTGGGGCTGAAGATTTAACATCCCTTCGTTTTTTGTTCTTGGTCGTAAACAGAGAAAAATTTATCAGAAAGTACATTAGGCAATAAATTATACGTATCAGCATACTGTAAGTAAATGGCATGGAAAATTATCTGTTTAGAAATTAGTTATTAATCAATTTGGCCCACTTGACAAAGGGAGACAATTTATTGTACATGCCTGACAAGCTATCCTGCACAACAATTATAGTAAGTCCTTCTTTTGCTTTTTTAGAAGTTTCTTAGGAAAGTTTTTAAATGAAGTTAATTGTGTTAAGAAGTTTCTAGGTAGAAAAGATTCTGATAGCTGAGAAGCAGCTGGCCTCCGACTGAAGGCCATATGAATAGAAGAGTCTTTTTATGCTTAGGCTTTAGCTGATAGGGGTGTACTGGTGGCTATCAACTGTCTTAGGTAATTGTCTAGCTGAAATAATAAGTTTTAGTGTAAGGCTTAGTTTTTTATCTATTAACCTTGAAGGTTGCCTTCTTGCTGAGAGCACATAGTAGCCAAAAGTCTATGGGAAAAGAATGCACTGATTGTTTCTGCTTTGCTTCTATGCATATGATGATGTCATCTCACTGCTTGCTAAAAATGAATAAATAAAGACCTGCTGAGCCCCTCAGTAGAAGATACTTGTACCTCATCGAGTGTCAGTGTCTCCTCACTACCTCATCCCCTTCCCCTTAGCCCTTAAGTTTTCGCCGACGCCATCTCATCCTTTCAGGAACCCCTGACACGACATTTTGCCAAGGCTGGTCTGTGGCACTATACAAGGAATCCTGTGAGACCATGACTAAAAACGTCACTCCCTTGGGGGTTGGGAGAGAGTCTGGAAAGAGTCCCATTAGGGTTGAAGGCCTTACCTTTCTTGGGACTCTCCTTCTGCTTAGGGGCCAGGCAATTCTCGCCTTTCACAAGAAGTGGCTGAACAAACATGGGAGACAGGTGGCCCTTCAGTATCGCGTGGACAATCAGACCCTCCATTGCTGACAGGGCGGCAGGGCTGGGACTGTGGCCTGGAAGAGAGGAGCCTTGGTCTGACTTAAGTTTCAGGAGGGTTGTTCGGGGGGAGAGTGAGAAGCCCTGTGAGTCCCTGCATAGCTGTTGGAGGAGAAAAAAGGGGAATAAGCTCATCCCCTACATCCAGAGGCCTGAACATCAAGCTCCGCCTGGAGGGAGGGCTTGGTGGCCCAGGATGAAGACATTCCCCAACCATCCACCAAGACTTCACTCATCTACTCATCCATGAAGGAGCATAGTCAGGAACATTCAACTGGCCAGGGTAGGGTTAGCCATCCAGACACTTTCCAGCTTCTTTACCTGTATTCGCTTCTTTAATCTTTGCCATAAGCCTTGAGGTAGATGCTATTATTAGCCCCATTATTCACCAAGGGGAACTTTAAAATCCAAAAAATAACATGGGCAAGATCCCACAGCTAACAAGGTAACACCCAGGTAGCAACAAATGTTCATGGAAACAAACCAAGCTGAACACGAAGAGCTCTGGGTGAGCAGGAAAACACCAGCGCTGGAGATGGGAGATGTTCTGATTCTTCTGTCATAGCTGCTTCACCCTGTGACATTAAGGCTGCACTGGTTTCAGGCATGTTCTTTAAACTTGAATTTGGACCTCCTTGAAGAATATGGGGCCAGTGAGAAACTAGATGTGCAAGAGCTCTGTGCACGGGAAAGAGGGCACACTCTAAGTTAGGCTGCAGGTGGCAGGGGTGGGGAGCAGCCATAAGACTAGAAGGAAGTGGATAAGACTTGGTCAGAGATTAGATGCCTCAAAGAGGCTTTTTTAAATGTGTAGAAAATCTCAGGGTAAGAGAAATGGAAGGAGGGTGTAGGGTGCCGGGCAGGAAATGGGAATGCACAGCCTAGCACTATGTAAGTGTCAGGGCTCGAGAGGAAGGTGTGATCATCACTGACATGGAAGTAGGAGACGGAGCAGAACCTTCCAAGGTGAGCAAGGCAGAGAGCAGCTCCAGTGTGAGATGCCAAAGGAAGAGAAGTCTGCTCCAGAGGCTGCAGAGGAAGCCAGCACACTAGGAAGAGGACCCAAGGAATGCAAAAGCCAAGGGAGAGAAGGATTTGAGGAGATAGCGCAGTTCAGGGAAATGTGAAGGGTGAGAAGGCAGCGGTATTGGGGCAACAAAGTGGAGAATCTGAGAAGGGCAGTGGGGTGCCATTACCTTCCTTTGTGCCGAAGAAGGCGAGCCCCAAGGAGATGTTGTTGTAGCCCTGGGTGTGCATGCCCTGGACGTTCCAGCCCACACCTTCATACACCCGGCCATCGTCCCCGACCAGGAAGCTGCGGGGCAGGGAGATAAGGGCTCAGTGACTGGACAGAGGCCCGGTCCTGCGAGAGGAGCCACTCCCCAGCCTTCAAAAGGAGCCCTCCTCTCTAAAGGGAACTTGCAAGGGCTAAGCTCAGAAATGGCCAGGAGAGTCATCTAGACTCGTGCTGAGGATTCTAAAGGGCCCACTCCCATGCTCCCCACCCGCCTCCTTATCCAGATGTCTGGGCTTTACAGAATCATCCTGCATACTCAGAAGGAGAAGAGGTCTTGGAGCCGCTACAGTAAATAAAGAGAATCAACCACACAAAATAAGAATCTTCTCAGTCTCCACATGTCCTAAAATATGACTCTCATCCTCCCTCCAAAATGCAAGTGGCCTCCAGGCTGTGTGCGTGACTGTGCAGGGCCACTGTCCCTTGGAGACTCCCCACCAAGCAGGACCTCAGAATAGGATGCAGATTCAGGCAGTTTGGGGGGATACAACCCCAGAAGCAAGGGTAAAGAAGCAAGGAGAGTAAGACAGAGGAAAAGATTCAACAAAGTGTATGGAATTGGGCTGGTGCTTAGTCCCCCCAGCCTGTCAGGTAGGTAATGAACTTTGGAACTGCCCCTCAGAAGGGCTGGGTGCTGAGGAAGCTCTCTACTAACTCCCACCCCAAAGGACATTAACTCCCCTTCACGCTCAGGAATTGGGTGTAAGATCAAAGCATCAAAGCAGACGAGTCAGTGGGTACTTGAGGCTGGAAGTTGTCACCATGCCCAGGAACTGTCCACAACCCAAAATAGTCAGTGTGGGACAAGGGCCTGGGCAGCCATAGAACCTGCCAGAAAGGCCACTGGGGCAGGAGATGGACAGCGGTGTCACCAAGGGGAGCGCACTCTGCTACAGTGGTGCGGGAAGCACAAAAAGACTGTTATGGGCTGTTGAGGATCCCCACTTTGCAGCTGCCTGATTTGGGGGAAATCAAACCCACCTTCCTGCCTTGGTTCCCAGTCCATAGTGTGGGGTGGTAGGTAATCCTTGCCCCAGGAACCTCACAGGCTGACCGGTTCATGCACAGCATTTACCTGAACTTCCAGGTGCTGTGTGTGAACCAGGTTTGGGGAAATAGAAAGTACAATCATTACTTAACGTTCCTCATTGCCTTTTATATCTCACAGACTAGGGCCTCACAGAAAATCCTGAGGACTTAGCAATATATAGGGTCTATTAACTATTTCATTCTATACAAACCTGACATAACTACAACCCAGAAAAAAATGAGAAAAACAGCAGCCTGAAGAGCAGGCTTGACTGCTGCTGACCCCCATCAGCTCTCACTTGGTGATCCCCCAGCGCCCACCCCCACCCCACCTGCCTCTGACTTGGTCACTGCCCCCCACCCCCGCCCCGCCCTGCTAACTCTCACTTGTAGGCCAGGCCGCACCAGCTGTTGTTGTGCACATGGTAGGCCCGCAGCTCCCGCAGCCTCTGGCTGCACGTGGTCTGGTGGTGACACTCCAGCCCAGGGATGTGGTGCGTGACAAGGAAATTCACTGGCCTGGTCAGCTGGGTGCTGCAGCCCACATCTTCATCTCCCCACTCCTTGTGTGACACCATGGTGGAGACATCTGCGGGGGGCCAATGGGTGGAGGGGGTGTTATTCTGCTCATCTTGCCCCACGTCCCTACATTAATCCCCTAGGCTACATCGGCCTTGCCGGGCTGTGTCTGCCCACAGTGGTGGAAAAGGCCAGGAGGAGCTCTTCACTGGGCAGTACCCCCTCCACTTGTCACCTCCACATCCCTACTTCCCCTCATCACCCATAGCTGAAGTTGCACCTGCCCAGAGAAGCAGATGCAAGCCTAGGCCTTGCTCCTCGACCCCAGGCCCACCCCCACTCTGGACTTTGCTATCTTGCAGCTTCTACCCTGCTCTGTTCAGATGGCCCCCCTCCAGCCCTCACTTCCCACCTCAGGATGCATCTCCATCTCACCACTGACCCTGGGGAGCCCCGAGCACCCTCCCCCCACCTCACCTCAGCACTAATGCCCTTCACGGGCACTATGCTCACTGACAGCTCTCTCTGTGCCTCTGACTTTGTTCTTCACCCAGCTGCACAATCACCTCCCCAGCCAGGAAGTTTCCTTCAGGCGGGACCTGGGTCTTCCTTCTGTCTGAGGACTCCCTGAGGGCAGGGTGTGTGGTCCATCTCTGGGTCAGGGGTGCAGAAGTTGCCTGTCCTCTTCCTAGTTCTATTCCCTCCCATACCACCACCCCTGCAAGGCTGGTTTACAGGTGGTTTACAGGTGCCCCTCTCTGCAACTCAGCCCATCGCCCCAGCCAGGGTGGCTGTGCAGTGCTCAGAGACCATTCTAGTCGCATGAGAAACCCCCAGTCAGCCCACAGGCCTCCGCACCATTGAGAACGAGTTTGACTTTTCCAGTGGGCTGGGAGATGCTGCTAAGAACGGTCTGAGGCGCCTCTGACCTGAGGTTACCTTGCATCTCACCCCAGGGGGCGTCACCAGCAAAGGAACAGCCCAGTTGGCCCAGTTCTCAGGGAGCCCGAGCCATCCCAGACACCTGAACCCCCACCAAGAACACACTCTGGAGAGGCCAGAGAACTACCCCCACCAGCGGTACGAGGTATGGTTTCTCCAACACCAACTCCAGGAAGTCCCCTAGAAGAGAATTAAACAGCCAAGGGCAGGGAGTCCAAAATAACATCTTTTTTCTAGTGAGCTGCATCTACGGGCACAACTGACCACAAAAAAAGAGAAAAAAAAAAAAAAACACTGAGAGACATAAGTATAAAGTCTTTTCTTAGGAGGATTGTACCTGCTGGAAGCTGTGGGGAAGTCTCTGTGGAAATGGGATTAGAATCTCCCAGAATCACCTGCGTGGCTGGAGTCAGTCCCCCTGGGATTGTTTTGGGGCACTTGCTATGCCTGTGCTCCGGAGCAAGGGACTTCAGGACGAGGCACAGCACGTCACCTGACACCCCCACCCCAAGGAACCTTCTTTTATTAACAAGTATAAACCCCAGGCTCTGACTGACTTTGCTCAGGCACTGAGTCCTCCAGGGAATCCTCACCACAGTTTAGGAGGTCGGAAACTTAGTTAAATTTGCAGGTGGGCAAATAGTCTTACAGAGCTGACTAACTGGTTTAAAATCATTGCTGGAGGCAGAACAAGGATTTGAACTCAATTCTGTGCTTCTGAATGCAAATTCTTTCTTCCTAAGAAAGCATAAGCATATGAAGACTTCAGGATGCCCCTTCTCAGTTACTCTCTGATCAGTGAGGGAAAACTCACCCCAAGCTCTGAGACCCAGAGCAGAGAAGAAAAGAAGCCACCGCAGCATCCTCTTGTGGTCTCAGACACCGACTGGAGAGTGGGGATGGTGACCCTGGGAAACAGTTAATCGGGCCACACTTACTCATCAAACAGGGCCCCCACCCCACTGCATGACCCCTGCCAAACTGAGGGCTTCTCGGTCCCTGGCACATGCCTTTGCACACTGGCTGGGTAAACACTGCATCCCATTACCCTGGGCAACTCGATTTCGTGGAGAGCAAGCCCTGGGTAGACACACGTGATCTTATTTACTCCCCACCTCAACCTGGAATGCAGGGTTGCTGACCCTCCTTCTTAGAGGAGAGGGACATAAGCCCAGAAAGAGTGGAACCAAGACATCCAAACGCACAGGGGCAGAGCCAGTGCAGAGAGATCCCTCCCAGTTGGGGACAGGGAGGGGTGAGAGCAGTCCCAGTTCTAAGGCAGAGGAAACTTCCTCATCGTCACACTCCGTCTCTGGAGTCCGATCCTTCTCGGGAAGAAACACTCGCACACACACTCACGCTACCTGTGGGTCCTGTGCCGTCCCAGCCCACAGCTCAGGGCGCAGAGGGCTCACCCTCACTGGCCAGTTTCCAGTCTTGACCTCTGCCCCACCCTCCTCCTCCAGCAGCCTCCTGGGCATGCACTGTCCCCCACACTAGAGGGCACACCCTCCCCAGAAATGGGAGGGCTGAGCTCTGCCTCCCAGGAGGGAAGAGGAAAGCCTGGGGTCCCTACAACACACTGAGCAGGGGGCAGGACTCCCGGGCTGCAGCCAGCTCCTCTGTCCAGGCTCTGAGAGAAACCAGGTGAGAGCAGACTCCCTGACAGAGGGACCCGCCCTGTGCACAAGCCAGCACCTCCTCCCTGGGGAAGGGCGCGATTGCTCAATGCTGCTGAGCTCCTTCCTCATGCCCTGCCTGGGATTCCCCCCAACACTCCAGGGTGCCCGTGGGAGGGGCCATCAGCTCTGAGTGTGTGTCAGTAGGTGGAGGCCACTCACCCCCCAGCCCTACCTGCCCCCCTTACCAGCAGGGCAGGATGGGGCCAGGGAAGTGGGAAGGTCCCTTCCTGGAGGCAGCTGGCAGTGTGCCGCCCTCGAGCCTCTTCCACCCTGTAGCCTGCATGTCCATCACCCTCCCTCCTGCCATGCCCCCCTCAGCATCAAATTGCCACCCACATGGGAAACCTCCCACAAACAAAACTCTCCAGCCCCCGGGAACTCCCAGGGCATGGACACTGGACGACCCTCACTGGCAAGCTCCCTGTCTGCGGCCTCAAAGCCCGAGGCCCAGAACCTCAGAGCAGTAGCACCCCATGAGCTGTGTGCGGTGCCTCAGGACCCGTGTGTCAGGGGACCGGCAGAGCTCACACCGCCCGGCGAGCCAGGGCCGACTCCTGAGACCACAGAACATACCCTCTGCACAAATGCCCCAAATCCAGGAAGGTTGCCTTGGTGGGCAGCAGGCTGACCCTTGGGCCTGGGATCCCCAGCAAAGCGCCTCAAAGATCCTTGAATGGGCATCTGTCCCACCCATTGTCCTCTCTGGTCATCCATCCAGGCCCAGGCTGAGAAGAAAGGCCTGGGGAGAGTGTGAGGGAGAGCCTGGCACTGCTGAGCTTACCCAAGGCGGGGCAGGGCTGGCCTGGGCAGCGGGCACCTGGAGGAGTCCCAGACCTTTCTGATGTGCCCTGCCTTCCCAAGCCTGCTCTGACTCCCGTCCTACAGTGAGGTCTGTGGGCTTGCCTCTGGGCATCCCTAGGGTGTTGAGGAGACTGGGTCCCTCTCTCAGAAGTGTTTAGGGGGTCAGAAACCCAAGGAGAGACTAGAAGGTGACTGCCTGAATGGACAGAGGGAGCAGGTGCATCCAACTCACTCAGAGGCAAGCAGTTCTAGAGAACCAAGATCCAGGGGCTCCCTGAGGCAAACCAGGGGAGCCGTAGCGGGGTGTGGGCAGTCCCTCTCAAGCTCTGTGAATTTAGGACTAACAGGGCAGGATAACCGAACAACCGAACAACCGGCCCTGGTCACCCTCCCCAGCTGAGGGCCACACCTCATCCCTCACCTGGGGTGGAGACTCCAGCCTGGCTTCTTCAGAGCAGCCTCTGCGAGTAGTCCTGACTATTAGCCTTAAAGTCCCTCTTCTCCTTCCCAGACTCTACAAATCGTGACAATGTCATAATCTCTGAAAGCCACTCCACATCCCACTCCCTCAGCGCCTAACAGAGCAGACATGGAGAAATGGAAGGAAAACAAGCAAAGAGGCAGGAACACGGGCGTGCTTCCAGTAAGGAATTGCCGGAGGCAGTGGTCCTTGAAGAGTGGTCCAGGGAGGCTGGGGAGCCCAAGACATCTCCATGAGGTGAAAACTACCTGCAGAATCATCTATCACTGTGCTGAAATTGACACAGTGACACTAGTTGTCACTGTACTCACTATATATTCTTTCAGATGAAAGTTTCACTTGAGAATGTTGATGAAGCGGTGAAAATTATTAATTTTATTAATTCTCCACCACAGTTGTCCAAGGGAAAAGCATGTAAGTGGCTGAGTGGGGAGCTGAACCAGGGGAGCTGAACCAACCACTTTCTGGTGGAACACCATTTTTCCTTGAGGAACAAGTACCCAAGCTGGATATTCCTGCCAGGGTGAATAGGGCAGACATTTTCTTAAAAATCAAGAGAATTCAGCATTTGGAGAACAACCAATGGGATGTGTTAGCATCAAGCAAAATTTGAAATTTTAGAAAATGTGTGCCTGCTACCATGAGCTTAGCCATTAACCCAAACTAAGGACTTTTCCAAGGTCAGGGGTAACTGATGAAATGTAGCCGATTTAGAAGACATGGATAACTCGATTTATCTGTATTTTCCCAGTGACCAGATGTGAAGCTACAAAACCATGCCTGGGTGAGAGACCTGATAGGTGGTGGGTTCCAACGTAGAATAAGCCCAAGAGAATCCTAGACACGGCTTCACATCCCACACTGCAACTAACCTGTAAGAAACCGCCACTTGCTGTGTTTTGTAGCCTTATCAAAGAATCTCCACAGTGATTTTTAATATATTAATATTTCCAACTACTTATCCATATGAGGCTTAATTGTCTTCTTATCCTCAACAAAAACATTTATACAGTACATTGAATGCAGTGTCAATATGAATACCCAACTGTCTTCTTTTAAGCCATACATTAAATACGTTTGTAAAATTTTTAATGATAATACTCTTCTCTACAGGTCCTTTTCTTGAAAATATAAATTATCATTTAATGAAGCATTTGTTAAACATGAGTATAAATGCTATTTTAAATGAATTACTAAGTATCTTAAGTGTCTTACATTTCTTTTTTTTAAGATTTATTTATTTATGCATAAAAGCCGGGATACAGGCCAGAGGTGCGGGGGAGGTGGAGGGGAGAGGATTCACCAGAGACAGAGTGGGGCGCAGAACAGACTGAAACACACTGCTGAGGGGAGCAGTGGGGGAGACAGGAGAGGTCTCCTGCACCATGTGGGAATGTCCCTGGCCGGCCGGGAGGCCCAAATGTCTTACATTTCTAATATGATAAGTATTGACATTGTAATCCACATAATCAAGAGCCCTGAAGATTACTCAGCAGATTTCCCAAGAGTAAAAGGGAATGGAGAGCAAAAAGGTTGAGACTGGGAGCCAGAGAAAAGCCACAGGCTGACCTGATGAAGGTTGGCCACCAGGGGGCAGCACACACTTTGCTAATCCCAGAGAACTGCTCCCACCCCCACCCCCACTCCCACCCCCCTCCCGCCACCCCCCCATCTTCACTATCACCATCCCTCCCTTCCTGCTCCCTTTTATCCCTTCCCTGCATTCTTGGCTGCACAGCTTCTTAATTTCAGGAAGTAATGATCTAAGCATAGGTTCCATCAAAACCAAGTCAGTCCATGTTCTAGCACTGACCTCACCCCAGTTTGGCTAGCTTGGGACAGTGGTGCCTGCAGAGGCCTTATGAACTGGGGGAACCCATGTGCAGTCTCTTACTCTTTCACTATGATATGGTCATAGTCAGTGACCCTCCAGAAAGTCACAGGGCAACAGACCAGTCTTCATTTCATACTCACTCATTTCTTCATTACACGCTCTCCTGCATTTATTCATTCAGTGAAACACTTATCCAGTGCATATAAGCCATGTCCTTGCTCCATCCTTGACGACAACAGTCCTGCCTCAGGAAGCCCAGTGAAGGGGAGGAGAGAGGCCAGAAAGTTAAGAACACGTGGCAGAGCAAAGTTATACACTATCTGCCACAGGCATGATTTTTCCCCTACACACCATGCTTTGTTGTTAATGTTGGGGGGGGGAGGGGTTTAGTCAGTTGGCAAATTTTATAAGTAGGAATTTTCACATTAAAACTTCATCTTTCCTGGACTTTTAGAAGGTCCAGCAATACTTAGTTTACTTTCCCACATGGTAAGCAGCCTGAGCCTGAATACCAACTGTCCTTCAAGGAACACTCGCATTTGCCAAAGTCTACAGCACTTCCTAGTGTCTCCCACTCTGAGGCACCATGTCAGTTGCCACAAATCACCCACTGGTGGTGCTGTCCAAGCTCTCATGTTTCCCCCATGCAAGTGTGTGAGCATCTGGGCCAGAGTGAAACATGCTTCAATAGAGACTGCAGAGGGCGCTATTGGCTCACACAGAGGAGGTACCTACACAAAATCCTAGAACAGAGATTTCCTAACAGCCTGAGAAGGGGAGCCCCAGGATCCCTGTTTGCTGTGGTCTGTGCCTCCTTCCCTGTTCAAACAGTGACAGACAAACCTCCTTAGGGAATGTCCCTGAAGTCCCCATTCATGTATCCCTGGGCTGTGTCTGCACTGCTCACTCACTCACAGATGACCATTCATTCAAGCACACATTCAACAAGCATTCATGAAACACTTTCTGTATACCAGACCCTATACTTAGTACCCAAGAATTTAAGCTGTGATTAGGAATTTAGGATGTAAGATTATATCTCCCCATGTATTGCAACTCACTAAACCCTCAGATTCATGCCTGGCACATAGTAAGTGTTCAACCAACGTTTGTTATATGATACTCCTAATTTACTGAGAGATTCCAACTTGACATCTTGACATCTACTATCTCAATCCTCAAAGTAGATTCTGTTATTAATCCATTTTACTGATTTTTTAAGTGAGGCACAGAGAGATTAAGTAACTTGGCTAAGGACACACAACCCATCTGAACTCTCGCCACAAAGCCAAGGTTCACACAGGAGATGCCCCAGGGCTTCCAGAGAGCAGATCAGGAGGAGCCAGGCAGTGGCTTGCCCAGTCTTTGGGAAAACTGGACAAAAGAGGCAGAAGTGGAGAAACATCATCCCTGACAGAGGGGGAGAAGTTAAAGGAAGATGTCCACAGTAGGTCCTCTACACATGCTTCCTGGGATGGGTACCAGTAAGGGCACAAAATAGATCATTCAGTAAATGTGAGGATCTCCCCAATGCCCAACAAAATATTCAGATAAGCTTACTCCAGGAGAGGAAGTGTTGAGAGTCAGAAGTGGTATGGGAGGAATTCTCAGAAGGAAGAGCTGAGCAGGCTTCCTGAAGAAGATGGCATCTGAAACTGAGCCAGAAGGGTGGGCAGGACTGCACCTTACAGAGGAAACAGGGCACTTCTGGAGTGAGAACATCAAACACAAAGACCTGGAGGTGCAGGGGTAGGTGGGCCCTGTGCCCCCTCCCTTCCCCAAGGGGAGCAGCTGAAGGGCTTTGTGTGCTGTGCTAAGTGCTCCGCCTTCTCCACTGGGGATGGGAGCCAATGGCGACTTACTCTGGAGAGGGACAGGTCTTGCCCACAGACCTACATTGAAATAGCTGCATTCTGGCTTGTGAGGCATGGTTTCCATGTGGGGAGTAGGATTTAGAAGAGTAACACTAGAAGCTTGCTGGAAATGCAGTCGCCCCCGAGGCTCTCAGGCTGCAAGAGGGAGGTGTGGCAGAAGCCTCAGAGCAGGAACCAGGCTGTCTGGGCCCAGTTCCTGCTATGTCACCAACCAGCTCTGCGACCTTGCTTGTTTGCCCTCTGGGCATCAGTTTCTTCATCTGCACCACCCAGGGCACTGTCACCAGGGGGCTGACTGGCTCTGGGGTCCTTCTAACCCTGACTCATATCCTATGTATCCATCACACCCACACTGACCCCCATACAAGCACAGGCTCAGCCTTCCCTGCTGGGCGCCACAGCAGCATGAGTTAGGCTCCCTGAGGGTCCTCAGCCCACCATCCACTGGTGTCACAGGTAAAGGGGGTGCCAGAGGAGAGGCTGAGCCCTGTGGGTAGGTGCACCCCTTGGGGATGGGCTGGCTTGTTCAGGAGGGCAGGGCATGGGTGGAGGGGAAGTAAGCTAACCCACCAGCTTCCTCCCAAACCAGCTCTAGGGCTGGGAATTTCACAAAAAGGCTAAAGGAGTTCCGTGAATACTTCCTGTTCTGCCCCTGCCCCCTTCCTGGCAGTGACAGGCCAGTTTAGGGTTACCACATGGCTTACCTGTGAGGCAACCTTCCTGAGAGAGGGCTGAGTGTCCCGGCCAGGGCCGGCCTATAAAGGCTGGGCCCACTGCAGGCTGTCAAAGTCCTCTGTGTGGCTCTTGGCTGGGTAAGTAGCTACCAGCTTCCAGCAGGAGCCTGCCTGCTGCCTCCTTTCCCCACACACAACTTCCTTTCAGATCCTCTCCCTGGAAGCCCTCCTTGACTGACAGGCCCACTTTAGAGCTTCCTTCTTCTGCTGCAGCCACCAGTTCTCAAATGCTGTTTTGGCATTTTCCAGATAGTCTAAAAACCATTTCTCATTTGTAGGACAGGGCTGCCTCCCAATTCAGCCACACCAGCCCCTTCTTTTTACCCCGTGTTCCCCTTTATTCCTGCAGGCAGCCAGTTGGGGGTGGCCAGGGAGCCAATCTTTCCCTCTAAGGACCGACCCTTGCTTCTCCCCTTCAGGTGCAAGAGGATAGTGGCGGAAATGTCGGAGCTGGAGAGGAGCATAGATGTCATCATCAACACCTTCCACCACTATTCCGTGAGGAAGGGTGACCACGACACCCTGTCGCAGCAGGAATTCAAACAGCTGGCAAAGAAGGAGCTGCCCAACTTCCTCCAGGTAGGCCTGGACCAGCTGGCTCGATCCAGCAGGGCTACGCTTGAGCTGAGAACATGAGCCACGGCACCCTGTCACTGGAGGGGCTGCAGGTCAGACAGGCGCTACAGAGCCAGCAAGACTGAGGCATGCTGTGTGCCAGGCCCTCGGGCGGGGGAGGGGTGCGTGTAGTGGCAAACGGAGACACGCAGCAAAGATGATGACCAATAAAAAGCACAATCTAAGGCAGACAAGCACCTGGAGGAAAATAAGCGAGGGGGCGGTGATGAGGGCCTGGCAGAGTAGGCTGACCAGGCTGAGGGACAAGTGAGGACAAGGCACTGGAGCAGAGACTGCAATGTTCAGAAGGAAGCAACGGAGGAAGCTGGGCTGGAAGATGAGGAGACTGTAAGCCTTGGGGCTTGGAGCAGACCTAGAGGCCATTTGAGATCCGAAAGAGTTTATGGCGGGAAGCAAACAGAGGCAAGAGGGAGAGCAGTGCCCAGTCAAGGAGTGGCATGGCCCTTGGGAACAGCGTCCTTGATTTCCCTGATCTGCAAAGGGTGCGGCAGTTCTAGGAAAAAGGATTCGTTCTGCCGTCTTTCATTTTCTTTTCAAATTTGGTGACTTGGAGGAAGCAGGGGCCTAGACAAAGAAAGGGGGGACAGCTGGGCCCCTGGGGCTGAACATCCCACCGTGACAGCAAGACGGCAGCAGTGGTGGTGTCAGGGATGCTGCCGTCCCCGCAGCTGCAGATCACAGCAAGCAGGATGCTGGGTCAGGGCAGGCGAGACAGAGGGACAGCCAGGAAGCGGTGTGGGCAATGTTCTCCCCATGTGACCCCAAAACCCACTCACCCCACACACGCAGCCAGGAACAGCATGATGGGAAAGGAGGGGAAGCTGGGATCAAGCAGACAGAGGGGCTGCTCAGGAGTAAGCGCTCCGTCCCATGATAGCACAAGTACAGGGAAGTGGCATGTGTTGGGGCACTCCAGAGCAGGAAGGGGGTGAATGTGGCAGAGCTGGCCCTCCTGCAGCTCCCTTCTGTCCCATCTGTATCTCTGGGCTCCCCTCCCACCCTGCCCTGCATTCTTTCTCACACATTTGATGTCAGCGGAGGGTGCACACTGCTCTCTGTCCTCACACAAGATCCCTGCCACCCTGTTTTGCTAAGGTGCTTCCCCGCAGGTAGGTTGAAACGAATGTCACTAGTTAGTAACCTGGAGAGGGAAGCAAGATGAACAGAAGGGGGGCAGACAGGGGATGGGACGGGGAAGGGGACAAGAGGGGGCTGAGTCAGATCACAACTTGCATTAACGCTCTCCTGCTCCCAAACCTTGTCAACCTGCAAACACTTATTACCCTTCCTAAGGCAGTTTGCTCACATCTTCCTCAAGGAAGACACAATCTCCACCTGCTAAAGTACTTACAGGACCGGATGAGGACTTACAAACCTCTCCATGTTTGCTACCTGTGCAACATCAGGCAAGTCACTCAGCCTCAGTCTCTCTCCTGTAAACTGGAGAAGAGTATGCTGCTTGCACACCAGTCACTTTGAAAGTGTCTGGTACACACTTGGCATCTGTTACTCTGTGGCCACTCAGTCCACAGTCATTTTTAATTTTTCAGTTGAGGCCCAGGAACCAGCTGTTCCTATGCCTTTGCCATCTGGTTAGTTACTGTGCTCCCCAACCCTGGTCATACCCAGAATCCCTGACTGCCCTCTCTCTCCTACCTGCAAAAGAAAAAGGACGATGCTGCCCTACTCAAGATCATGGAGGACCTGGACACGACTGTTGACAACCAGCTGAGCTTCGAGGAGTTCGCCATCCTGGTGGGCCGGCTGACGCATGCCTCTCATCAGGAGATGCACAAGAACGCCGACCCAGGGAAGAACCACAGCCACGGACCAGGCCTTGGGGAGGGTGGTCACGGCCACAGCCATGGCCACGGTCACGGCCACAGCCATGGCCATGGCCACAGCCACTAATCAGGAGACCGGGCCACTGCCCAGCCCAGCTGGGTTCCAGGGCTGCTGTGCCACTCTGCCTGAGCTGCGGGCTGACAGCTGGGGGCAAAATAAAGCCTTCCTCCAAGCCAGTGTCCTGCGTGCTTCTTCTACCACCCCCTTCCTGACCTGTCCTTCTTGGGGGTCTGGGAGTTCAACAGCTCTGCCCCTCAACTGGGTCTCAACCCCTTCTCAGCAAAGTGAGAAGTTGCTATAATAATGCCCGTCCTGAGCTGGGCTCTCCTCCCTGCCCATGCCCTCTCCTCTGACTCAGGCCCCACTACTCAGGGCCCAGTCGCCTGCACCCAGCTCAGGACCTCGCTGCTGTCCAGCCTGCCAGATTGACCCTTGTTGTTACCAGAGCAAGCAAAGGAGGGTAATGCCTCCCCCTCGACATGCCAGCCCCCCCCCCAGCCCCAACCCCTCTTTACCCCAGGCTGCCTGCACACCCATCTCTCCTGATAGACCCTCCTCCCTCTTGCCAAAGTGTACCTAGGCGGGGCCCTTGAGGTGGACGCTTGAAGGCAGAGCCCTGGTGCATGGAACAGTTGGGCATCTCTGAGCAGATCGAGCATCCTCACTAGGGATCTTGGGAGAGGGGCGCACATGGATGAAGCCTGGGGACCCAGCCCCATGCCCACCCCACCTGCAGGCTGGGGGAGTGAGACAAGCTCCTGCCTGCTTTTGGAGAAACAAGCTCCAATCCTGGCTGTGCAGCTAAGAGACAACTCAGCACGGGGAGGCTGGACTCTGGTCCAGAGAGCCTCAGACCTGAGACTGATGCTAAGCCTGAGGCCAGCTGACCTCCTGAAGAGCCCAAGGTGCTTCTGGTCCCTGGCAGCCACTGAGGATTATGGCAAGAGGGGATACTTGCTCACTGAGCTCTACAAGGCCTGCGGGGGATGGGAGGGAGGTATCTCCCACCTTCCCCAGAGTTGTTGCCTCTGCTCCTTCCCCAAACCCCTTCCTCAGCCTCCAGACCCAGCAGCTCATGTCAGAGACACCCAAGTGACTCCCCTGCATCCCTCCTAACCTTCAACCTGTCGACATCACCATAAAGTTCCTTTCTTACTTTATAACCAGGCTGGGCCTTCCAAAATCCACAGCCCAAATCAGGGGCATACACTGTCCTTTCAGCAGAGAAAACTGGGATTTGGGGAAGCTGCTCTAAGTGAATACAGCAAGTCACAGAGTGGAGAAGACAACTGTCCCTGCTTGTGTGCGGTAGAGTTGGCCACGACAGTGTAGAGAGAAGAGGGCCTTGAATCCCACCTTCTGCCCCAGCCGGACCTGCAGCTCTCTCCCCAGTGCTGAGCACGGAGAAGGCAGCCCTGGTCAGGGACGTGCTCTCCCACCCCGGGCTGTAGGCCAGTCCCCACAGTCTGCAGTCAGTCATCCAGAGGCACCCCACACACTGGGAAGGCCCAGGAGCCCTTGCTATGGGCACTGGGATTTAAGGGCTCCTGCTTGAGGACATGAGGGTGTTTCCAGCCCGGGGCACAGAATTTAGAAGCCCCCAGTTCCTCTCCTGCCTGACTTGGGGTCCTGACAGCTGGGGACACTTACCTCTGACAGCCCCCCAATCCCCACCCTCAGGTCCAGGGAAAGTCTACTCTTCGGAACGTGACTTGATTCATGGAAACTGGCCTGGGAGATAAAGGCCTATCCGCCTGCTGCTCCCCTCCGCAGTGTATTTCAGCAGATCCACCTGTTCTGCTCCCAACTCTGTCTCTGGTGAATCCTCTCACGCCCCACACCTCTGGCCTGTACCACAGTTCCTCTACGTAAAAATTTAAAAAAATAATAAATTAAAATCTTAAAGAGATAGAAGATTTTTTTTAAAGATTTATTTTTATTTATTTATACAAGCACTGGGTACAGTCAGAAGCGCAGGAGGGTGAGAGAATTCACCAGAGCCAGAGCGAGGAGCAGAGCAGGCAGAAGGACCGAAGTACACTGCTGAGGGGAGCAGCGGGTGGCAGGAGAGGCCTGCACGCCATGTGGGACCCTCCTCCGGTAGCCGGGAGCAGCTGGGGATTGAACAGGTGCTGCAGAGGCTGCAGGCAGCTTCACAACCCAGCGCTCAACCGCTGTGCCACCAGGGAGGCCCAAGATAGAAGATTTTTGATTGAACCAAATTGCCCCACCTGACACTTAGGTCACCACCAAATGGTCAACCTGGCCCTACGCGTATCCGCCAGCAGGCGTCCATCCTAGTATCTCTGTGTCCCTCCCACTCCCCTGGGAACATGGAATAAACCTAGCTCCTTCCATCCACGCAGCCACCCACCACCTCTCAGAATACCTTCCTGGAGCAACACCTAGCTGCCTCCAGCCTCCGCTCCCTTGCACCAGGGGTGCTGCCCCACCTGGCCACTGGTCTGGCACTCAGGACAGTGAGGGCCCCTTGCTCCTCCAATAAGACTTCCCCAGCCACCCACCTTCCTGAGAATACAGGAGTCTCCTCTTCCAGGCCCACAGAACTCTGGTACTTCTACCACTGCACCTCCACTGTGGAATTGTCACCCTGATCTGTGGCCCTGTCAGCAGGGACAAAAGCTACCTCACCTCCCCCCAGGGGCTGGCATGGAAGAAGTTCTCAGCGAGCACTAGGGATGAGCAGGTGCAGGCGAATGGGCCCAGGAGTCTCTGGGCCTGGAGCTGGGGCTGACGCTCAGATGGGGAGAGTAGGGTGGGCATGTGCCCACGGGCCACTGGAGGCTGGGAGAGCCGAGACTCAGCACGATGGGGACAGACCTTCTCAGGTGACCAGCCCCCTCCTGTCTTATCTCTGCTAGCTCAGTCTGAGGGTGGGAATTATTCTAGATCCCGGGGCAGGTCTGACAGCCACTTTCCCAGAGTTGGGCATTTTCCTTAAATTTTAACTTGGCGAGTCCAAGCCACTTAATTTCTTCCATCCCCCTTGCCACTTCCATTCCCAAAACCTGGTTCTGCTGAGTAGAGAGGAGGCGACTTCTTCCCTCAGATGGGGACCAAGATCTCCGTGTCAAGGTTAAGATTCTAATCCAAGCGAGATTGGGGACGGCCTCTATTAATGGTTGATTGATTATTTCCTAATTATTAATTAACAATTGAGTCCTTTGGGGAAACAAGACCGTTGGTGTTTCCCTGGCAGCACAGTGACTAAAGAGCACTGAGACAATCATCCTACACCTCCCCAACCCCACCCTGGAATTGATCTTCTTCTTTTTTTAATTAATTTTTTTTTAAATTTTTTACATCATTGTTCATTTTTAAACAATGATTGCTTCCCCCCACCCCCTCGGGTGTAGTCCCCATAGAGCTTCCTTCCCCAATGCACCCGTGCACCTTCACCTCAGTCCCCTGTGCTCCTCCCTCCCTCCCTCTGACCCCTCTCCCTCCTCCTCCCCTGCAGGATGTCTCTGATTTATAATTGACTGTTTTTGTTTTGCTGTGTTTTGTACTGTTATTTTTTTTACACTGATGTCTTATTTGGTTCCCCTATATTCCTGCTATAAGTGAAACCATCCGATATTTTTCTTTTTCCTTGTGGCTTATTTCACTGAGCATAATTCCTTCTAGCTCCATCCACGTAGCTCCGAATGGCATGAGTTTATCTTTTCTGATTGCTGAATAATATGGAATTGATGTCCTTAGCAATGGGGAGGGGGATGGGGAAGGAAGATGCAGCCTGAGCTGCAGGCTCTGCCCAGGGGTTAGCGATGATGTTCTCAGAATGCTCTGGAGCTGGGGTGTGCGGGTTGCACCCAGAACTGAAAGGCAATCTGTCCACTCAATCAACAGACTTTTGTTTCAGATCTGATGTCTGCATTGTGTAAGGCTCTGGGGCCCCAAGACAAACAAGACTTCACCCTGGGGCTCCCAAGCCTGTAGGGCACAAGGCAGCTCCTCAAAGGATTCTTCTTTTTTTTTTTAAAGATTATTTATGCATACAAGAACTGGGGAACAGGCCAGAGGTGTGGAGGGTGAGAGGATTCACCAGAGACAGAGTGGGGAACAGAACAGGCAGATCTACTGAAATACACTGCTGAGGGGAGCAGCAGGTGAGAGAGGAGAGGTCTGCTGCGCCATGTGGGTAGCTCCCTGGCTGGGCATCAAACTCCTGCTGCAGTGGCTGCCAAAAGCTTCATAGTGCTGTGTCTTAACCCCTTGTGCCACTAGGGAGGCCCCCCTCAAAGGATTCTAACATGGAAAGTGAGAGGTCAGAGAAAAGCGAGACCTGGTGGGACTTTGACATCCTGCAGGTGTCCCCGGATGAACATGCAGCTGCTTCCGGAAAAGGAGATGAGTGAGCAAGGGCCTGGAGCGGGTAGAGGTGGGGTGTGAGCAGGAGACAGTGGGCAGCATGTGGGCACCTCAGCTCACACTTCCTGCAGCAGGAGGACAGAGGGCAAAGCAGTGGGGGTTTCGTGCAGGCAGGTGATAGTAATGTATTTGCACAGTTGTCCCTTGAACGAGCTGAACTTGTGCCTCCAGAATCTCTCACACAGAAATTTTTCTGTAAACACCTAAATGTATGTTCTCTTCCTTATGATTTTCTTAATGACATTTCTTTTCTCCAGCTTACTTTGTTGTAAGGCTACAGTATATAATACATCCAACATACAAAATATGTGCTCACCAGCAGCTTATGCTATCTGTGAAGACTTTGCCAACAGCAGGCAGTAGTTATGTTTGGGGGGAGCCAGGGGCCAACCATATTTGAATTCTAGAAAAGTTTATCTTCGGGGTGGGAATGAGACAGCAGGCACAAGGCGCAAGGAAGCAGCAGCTCTGCTCAGGTGAGCTCTGACAGGCGCCCTTCTTGTAGAAGAGGACTTCAAACCACTCCGGGCCCTGTCTCCCCTGCACAGCCTGGTAGGGACCCCAGCGGATAAAGAAGAGAATTGGGTGCTGTTTCCCAAGACCTTACTGGGAAGAAAGGCCTCCACTTTCACCAGCCCCGTGAGGCAATCTTGCACAAGCCTGACACAAGTGCCCTCTGAAGTAAGCTCCAGAATCCATCTCAGTGCCTGCCCCCTCCCCGAAGTTGCTGAAGACTTGCATTTTAGAAATTCCTGTGTCATGGATTTTGACATTCTAA